AAATGAGAACCCGGATTGTTGTTGGGGGCAATATGCTGACTCTGTAAACCGCTTAGAAAGGGCTGAAAGCCCTATGAAGCGGTATATAAGTCTAATTGCTATTGTTATCTCTGATGTAACCATAATTATGAAGCATTTCTTACCTCTTGAGCAGACAGGAAGTGAATGTGCAGCAGCTTCCTTTCACTGTCAACCAACGGTAAAAAAGTAATAGTAACATCATCATCAGTGTTCAAGTTAGCACCAGCACCTCGATTGCCATAGCCATCGTTCTCCATGGCAACCAAAGCAGAGAAATGGCCCCTTGTGTAGCCCAGAGCAATCGGGCTCTTCCAACAAAAGCTCTGTTCCCATAACAAAGGCAAATATACACCTATGAAAAAAGGGAAGGTCCAAAGGTCAATGAACTTGATGTATTTGTTTTTGGTGAAGATTTTTTTATCTAAAGCACGACAATGAACATAAGTCTTTAATGTACCTCTCAGTAGAAAGTTGAGTCTTTATCAATTAATGGATGTAAAAAGTTGCAAATATAGTCTAATAATTGAGTCTACAGGTAGTCTTCCATTTATGGCCAATTGTTTAACAGCCATTTGACACACCTCAATTATGATCCATTTTCAGAGTTACAAAGGCCATACACATCAGTGGTGGGTTACAACCGGTGCCCCGGTACAGGCATACTGGTGCCTGCTGGGAGCACGGGTATCATTCCGGTACGGTGCTCCAGAGGGCCCACCCGCCAGCGCTCCTTACCGGTATTTAAGCTCTTTGGCACTTCCGCGCATGGAACCTATGGTGCCTGCGCGATGATCCACCGAGAGCTGGATCGTTGCAGGCGGTAAGTATGCATGCAAGTGCTGCGCGTGTGTGCTGCACGCGTTCATATGGTGGACGCCCGGCCCCATTGCACCATACCGGTTGCACCGGGATCTGGACCCCCAAAACTGATACACATCCATATTGTTGCATAATAATTTTGGGCACTTGGCAACTGATCCACCTTAACAGCCATTTGCAGCATTCTGTAGTCATGCAACCATGATTTGTGACCTTTTTTTGTCAGTTTCCAGGGTTAACTAAAATGGATTTGCTTAACAACCATCATAAAAACCAATTATAACTTTGAATCCAGTCAGGTGATGCTTCAACTTAGGACCCTAATTCTGGACAGTCATAAGCCAAGAAATACCTGTACTATAAATACTATCATGCAATCCTTAAAATAGTAATAGATATCTCAAAAGGAATTCCCATAGCAACTGAAAACAATTCCAACTGAAGTTTTACCTTTTTAAAGTATTAACATGTTACATTTAACATACAGAACAATCTCTATTTCAATTATTCAGTCACAATCTAGTTTCCACAGTTTTTAACATACATGATGGAATCTCCCTTCCAATACTCATTTGAGGAACTTAAAAGATATTCAGACCTTCAACCAAACAACTAAAGTAGGAGCATGAGAAAATTTAGAAACTGGAGTACTACAAAGTACAATGCTCCTTAAAAGTTTTGAGTTTTTAACATTTCTGCATAAATACAATCTAAAAATATGATCTTTTCTCCAGACAAGTCCTAAAACTAGATAAAAATAACTCAATTAAAAGTCAATGTTTCTTTCAGCCTCTCTATAATTTCACAGAGGCTCAAAATACATCTAAGAGCAGACAGTAGCAACATATCAAATGTATTTCATCAAAACAAAACAATTACATTGTTCTAACTGCAGCTTCTATATCAGTCCTGTTATGTGTCCCTAACTTTCCCAGAAATCTAAGAAGATACTTGAGCTTTTCTTGGGATTTTCCATGGCTTCTCATTTTAAATTCATAAAGTGGAAGAAGATCCCAAAGAGCTGCCATATTACCATAAAGTGATGTTCATCAGACCCACAGATCATTCTTTGTTGAATCAGATGCCAATGATTGGCTCACAGGATGATTATGAGAGCACAAGCTTCGGCTACGGTCTCCTATTTCAATCTCTAATCCTGGAGGTAGCATGTAAATATCAAGACTAGCAGCAACTGACAGTTTTATCCTTCTAAATTTAAAGTCCCATTGTTGTCTCTTCCGTGCGCTTACTGGTTTACTAGTAAATGTCAACATGTGGGGCAGGAAACAAGGTGTTAAAGAAGGGGCAATAATTTAGGTTCTGCTACCAGCAAAAGGTAAAATTCTCAGGCAATGGTTGTAAGGCATGATGACCCAAATCAAGACTTTGTATCATCTCAAATTGAGTAATTTAAGTGAAATTGTAAAAGAAAGGTAAGTTCAAACGAAATGTGACATAGATGGGGCCAAGAATTCAGAGACTATTTTCAATATTCAGCAGACATACAATATTTTTTTATTATTTAGTAGGCTTTAATTTTATAGATAACCATAGGCAATTAATTTATACAAGACCCTGTTTCAATTCTTGATTTCAATTAATTCTCTTTATCTCAGCTCGGGAAAAACTCCTACACTCCAGTAGTCCTTTTTCTAAATGGATGGTTTCTGGTTGGTTAATCCATGTATATATTATGTAGCCATTTTGTGTGAATACCAGGACACCCAGGGAGTTCTTTTTTAACGTCCACACTCATTCAGTGAGCCTTCAAAGTTACAACAGCACTGAAAGAGAAGAGCTTTTGATGGGTTCTTGCAGTAGCAGTCATTGTAGTGTTCCTGGGGTCAAACCATGAAGGATTTGCCTAACAAGAGCAACTAAAACTGTTAGAACTGCCACTGAGGCCACATGATGCTGTGCCTTATAAATACATTGCTTAGTAATGGAATTCCCAATCCTGATTATTGTCAGTAAGTGAAAACTATTGTACTTTCAACATTTTAAATGTATCTAATGGCTTAGAACAGTGTTTCTCCGTGACCTGACAAATGCGCAAACGTCAAAACCGTGGCGACAAAACCGCGGCGCTAAAACCGCGATCTCAAAAGCGCGCCGACAACAGCGCGCTGACAAAAGCGCGCCGACAGAAGCGCGATTTAAGTTAAGGTAAGGTTTAAGGCTAGATTTAGGGTTAGGTTTAGGTTTAGGGTTAGGGTTAGGTTTAAGGTTAAGGTTAGGGTTAGGGTTAGGTTTTGGTTTAGGGTTATGGTTAGAGCGCGCTTCTGTTGGCACGCTGTTGTCGGCACGCTTCAGCGCTCATTCGTCGGCGCGGTTTTGTCACCGTGGTTTAGTCAGGCACGCTTTTGTCGTTCGCGCATTTGTGGTGGAACCATGTTTCTCAACCTTGGTGACTTTAAGTCCTGTGGACTTCAACTCCCAGAATCCCCCAGCTGGGGGATTCTGGGAGTTGAAGTCCACAGGACTTAA